TCCTCTGCTTTTGACTAAAAATATTGACTTCCCTCAGGAATTACAAGATGCACTCTTGAAAACACTGAAGAATGTCAAGATTCAGCCTGTTGAAGATACACCTAATGGTTAGTACTTTCGTGACTTTGACATATTAGTGAAGGCAACTGAATATGGGGGGTAGTTGGACTTGGTGATGAGTTGTGGAACTTAAGAATAATTCATGTACCAGTTGTAGAAATATATGCATTAAGACTTGTTACGATAGTTGGGATACTTATTTCTTACGGGCATCAAACTTTGTCCGTCCTTCTGTTTCCAATTTAACGCTTAAATTTGCACATACTCGTTTTTTCTTGCCAGAAAATAATCCAAAGAACAATACAATTGCGTAAGAATTTTCTCATTCTATCATTCATGAATAAGAAGTCGACAATAATGCAGGTAAGTATCTGAAAGCGGAGGTGGATGTAGGATTTGGCCAAGATGTTTTGGAGTTTTTAGTAAATGGAGACGTTGTTTCGTTTAGAGCTATGGCTACCAAGGTAACATATGTATATCCCTTCACAACAGCTTTTGGGGACTCGAAAGGCGAGGAAGATAGATTGAGCAAGATTGTAAATGAATTAGGGTGGTATGCTCCAAGTTTTGATTCCATGGATTAGAACATATACATATATGAAGTATTATATATAATTCATATAAGCCTATGCGGTCAAATGATGAGATTGTCTCTCTTTTACATATTTTTAGTTACATAATAGCATTATGCGATCATAGACTTCAAGTCTATTAGATTTGTCTTTCTTTTACATAAATATTTTTAATTACATAATAGCATTATGCGATCATAGACTTCATTGTGATGGTGCGATGAAATTAATAACACTATGAAACTAATAGATATAACTCTATATAATTGCATCATGCCATTATTAGTTTTAAAGTTCCATAAAATAAATAAATATAACCTACATAATCGCATCATGCCATCATAAACATCAGTGTGAAAATGCAATAAAATTAATAAATAGGGAAAACTACACTTAATCCACCTAACTACAGAATTTTTCTGCACTTTACTCACTTAACTTTTTTTCGTGACATTTTGCCCATATAACATTCTAAATAATTGCACTTAACCAATCTTCGGTCATCGTCCGGCCATTTCTAAGAGCTCATTCTGTGTTTATTTTAATCAATTATATGTTTCCTTTAATTAAGTTGATAGTTATTTTGTAAGTAAAGATGATGTAAATAATTATGTAGCTGATTTTGGAATCTTCATTTATGGAGGATTCGTTTTTATTTTAACATGTTTATTAGAGTCATTAATTTTGATTAGAATATATGCTATATACACAAAATACAATTTTATAGTAATATTCAAATTTATATGACGCCAATTTTGGAATTCTCATTTATGGAATATTATTTTTTCATCATATTTTTTAGAATCAATGATTTACGTTGTCATATATATACACAAAATATAATTTTATAGTAATATATATATATATATATATATATATAAATATATTCCCTTTTATGTGAGATATATACAAATCCTCATTTTATATTCTTTTTTACTATTGTTTTTAAAAAAAAATTGAAATTTTGTATAGTAAACCGATTTTCTACTATTTGTATTGGTAAAATATAAAAATTGGTTCTTCCTCCCGTATCTCCTTCCTCCTGCAACCTCAACCTAGAGATACCCCGTAGCCTTCCCCGGTAGGGCACTTCGAGCCCTCGGCGGCTGCTCTATTGGGCCCTGCAATTCGCCTCCGAGAGCTGCGTCGATGGAGTGGGCTTTTTCGCCGGGGAGAAACTTGCGTCGTTTTCCAGTTTTCTGCTCTGATGCCGGAAGCGAACGGCGGGCGTTTCTCCTCCGGTATCTCCGCTGCGGCGGCTCCAGCGTTCTCTCGGAGCGAATTGCAACCTCAATTTCCCGTTTTAGGGCTTGGGGTGGAGATAGGGTTCCGGTCAATTGGCTCCTTCTTGTCCGGGTGTAGAGCATTGGAGCCTCGGTGGTATCCGATTCTTGGGTGGGCGCCGATCCTTAGCCTTGTGGTCGCCGATTGGGTGAGTATGGAGCTCTGGTGCCGCGGTCGCTGAGATTGGATGGCGGGCTCTGTGTTTGTTGGGCTGGGTTGGGCTTGGCAGGGCTGGTTCGGTTTGGGTTGGGTTGTGCAGGCTTGCGCTGCATTGGGCTGGGCTGAGCCAGACCAGTCGG